CAAATATGCCTATATGTATTTTTATTTTAATTATTTAATTATTTATTAAATTATGAATAAAAAATATGAGTTGTTTTTTTCCAATTATTTTTGATCCATACTGTATATTATATTTTTTTAAAAAACAACTTTTTATTTCTTATAATTATTTTAAAAATTAATCTTAAATAGTTAATATTACAATAATAATTTAATAAACTTACTTTTTTTAATAAAATAGTTAATACGTAATTAAATTATATGAATAACATGGCAATCTTGATATTAAAAATTCAAAAATTACAATATATATAAATTTATAAGCTTATATAATTAGCAAATATTATAATATACTTAATAATCTTATTATATTATTGTTTTTAAATATCAAAATTAACATAGGACCAAGCTCTAGCTTTTCCCATTAAGGAGTTAGTAATCAGATTATATATTGACAATTACTGCGCCACAAGTCATAAAGACAAATTACAATGATTATATTTTAAAATATTTAATTTTTTGATTATAATATTGCAGTTATTACATCACCTAAAGCGTTTTAATTACAACCATCCAGAATAAAATATTAAACACTGAATAAATTCCGAGTGACGAAATACAAATTCATAGCATATTTAAAAAGGAACTCAAGCGAATATTCCAAAGGTAGAAACATTGAATGTGAAAACGAATAATATTAATAAATGTTAGTAATATCTTGATTAAATCACTGGACCTTACGTATATATTTCAAAATTATCTATTATTAAATAAAATTGGTTAAAAACATAGATCAATAATTAATAGCACAGTATAATATAATTACTTTATCTGCGAGTCTTCCTTTTATCTAGAACTGATGTTCGAGTAAACGTATCTTCAAAAAAATCCTCATCCTATAATGTTCATAAAATTATTGATGGTGTCGACTTGCGTATAGAAAGTAATAAGAAATAATAAACATACATCGTCTTGATCATCCTGAATGGAGTTAAAGTAAATACATGTTAAAAAACAAAACTCCTGACTTTAGAAAAGGTCATTATAAAATTCTGTTTATGGCTACCATAATAATTTGACTTGACTTTCTCACAGAGCGAGAGGGAACATTTGAGATGGTAGCACTACTTTGTGAAGATGCTTTACTTTGACGGCCCGTTACTTTCTTTGATGGTGGTTCCTCGAGCCTGACACTGAGTATTCCATGTAGTCGATTAGAAATTTATATTTATCAATTTGACACAACCACTAATTACCTAGAGGTTTTTCTTTTCCGCTCGCTAGAAATTTCCATCCTCTCCATGTCTTCAAAAATCGAATCAACTTCATATTCGTCGTCATCATCCTGAAATGAATTAAACTGTATGAGAAAGAAGAAAAAAAAACAATTCTTTAATATAATAAATTATTTGGCTAACGTTTTTACGTCTACTTGTCGCCTTCCCTTTTCCTGTTTCGACTTGTCTGATGCTATAATCAAAATCATCTTCTGAATCATCAAAATGACTGCGTTCGTTCTGGGTAATATATGAAATATTAATTTTAAGTAATTTAAAATTACAATACATAATATATGTACCTTTTTCCGAGTCGTAGTCCTGGTCGATGAACTTGTAGCTACCACTCTAGGTTCATTATCAAAATCGGAATCAAAATCAACCTCATCTATAATATTCTGAAATAAGATTAATTAAGTTATATAATATTCACAACCCATATTAAAAATATGAGACGTTCAATTACTCTGGTTTGACGTGAAGTTGTTTGTCTCCCCCTTGCCCGAGTTCGACCCCGTCCTCGTCCTCGAGTACCTGTTCCCTTCGCAGCCCTTGTGGTTCGTGACTTTGATGATCTGATAGATCCGTTTAGGTTATCATCTGAAGCAAAATCTTCATCATAATCAGGCGCTTGACGTTCGACAGAAGTTCTATCCTTTATATATCGAAATAATAAATTAATCATTAAATTCAAAAACGGAAAGTTATGGAATTAATAAACTTACTTTTTCAGCAAATCTTTGTTCTGGATTTTTTTGCGCATATTGATGAGCAAGCAATGTTTTTTGTTTGTGAGTCTAAACAAGAAGTAAGGAAAGCTGGTTTATAATGTAATTAATTTATTATATTCGCGACGTAAATCATAATATTATTATAACCTGTTCTGCGATAATCTTTTCATCTTCAACGATAAGATCCCTTTTAAGTTGTGACCTTACATTTTTGATCGTGCTCTTATAGAAACTAGGGTAAACAATAATTAAGAAAAGGGAATACAGCATATTAAAATAATACATTATAGAGATTAATATTTCTCACTCTACGATTGCATCCTGATCCTCTTTGTCCACATAAAGTGTGACCGAATCGCTTAAGGCAATTTCTGGTAATATATCGAGAGTTTCCAAACATTCAGATATGAGATCATTGACGACAGCTTTTGAAAGTGTTTCAGGCATATCCGTTTCTGTGGGATTTTCTTTCTTAGCTTCTGTTTCAAAAATCATATATGTTAGTTAACTCTTTTTTTTACTGAAATTATCGTAGAAAATAGTAGTTACTTTGTTTCACGGGATTCTTTTTATGAAAGAATAATATTTCTTGATTGTTGGCAACTTGATTTACGAAATTTTGCCCAAATTGACGGTTGTTAAAAATTTTAAATTCGCCCGAATAATCGACCTATTTTATAACGAAGTATTGAGACCATATACCATTATAATAATAAACTATGTGCCAGAAAGTGCGTAAATGAATAATTTACCTTAAGCTTAACTAAGGGCAGGGGGAATTTTGAAACATCAGTTTCTTCATTTATTTCTAACCAATTTTCTTTGGCCTCCTCTATTAGTTCCTCAACCTGCACAAATAGTTGTTAGAAAAAAAGAATTTACCAACGATTAAAGAATAGATTGTAAATTACCTTCGAAACCAAAAGAGACGACATGTGTGTTAAATCATCAGGCATGAGGTCGGGAAAATCCTGAAGCACAACTTCCCCCATCACAAATGGCCTAACTGTTCTCAATCGAATTTTTTCCATGTGAAAGTCGCCTGGACTGCGTATTTCTAGCTTTGCAACGTGCCTAAATTACATTAACAGCCTCGTTAAACTATATTGATAAAGCCTATGTTATAAACTCGCACGTACTTGGGAGCCATTTCTCCTTCAATTAAACTGGTAATAATAGATGATCCAGGTTGTGAAATATAGAATGTTTGTTGTGAATTATATTCTTGATCAATTTTACAATCATGTTCGTGCCCCCATATTACTAGGTCCATGAAACTTGGTAAAAAACTTTCGGGTATATAATTCTTTGGCCCATGAGGAACCCTATACACAAAACGTAATTAATTTCAAGTTTTTATCTTTTTATGCAAGAAAAAAAGATCCTTTACCTATTTTGATGTAGAACCATTAAATTGAACCAATCATCTGGAGATGAATCAACCTGATTCACTCTAACATTATCTTCGATGAACATCCGATGCAATCTTTCGTCTCTTATATTTCCAAATCCATA